TAATAAATTATTGATCAATATTATACGTTTTGATCAGCAAAAATGATACTAAATTTGATATCGCAATAAAAAACAATTTTTCCAAAATGATACCGAAATTTTCTAGGGGCCCTGTGTTAGACCCAGAAATCTAATACCCGATAGCACAATCCAGTCACAAGACCTCAATGATTGATTAGCCATGTGACTGGTTTCGTCTAATAGCTCTATTAGTACTTCTAGTTCTGCTAGTTCTTAGTTTTACTAGTCTATTAGTTTTATTAGTTCTATTATATATATTAGAGATATTATATTTTGTATATATATCTATATAACTTATAGATTAGTCGCAGCAATTAACATGTATAAAATAACCCTATTACCCCCCGAATCGGGAGTTTCTCGTAATACAATCTAATAAAGAGTAACTCAGATTATTACAACTATCTGTATCTTCATATGCATTTAGTTGTGTGCCTCTTTCGTAACTGCAAATCACGTAAAACCTCTATCTATATTCACGGCTTGAACTGTTAAGCACGTGAGGCATTTATCAATTATCAACGAACCGTTTAGAGGTGGTTTGGGTGTAACAGTACTTACTGTAACCGCTATAAATTTGAAAAAAAAAAAAACCAGTAAATTAATGCTGACAAAAATGGTTTAAATAAATTATTTAAGTAAAATATCCGAAATTAAATAAATATAGATTATCCGCATTAGCTTATATGCAGCTCTATGCAGATTCTACAATTTTTTAGAACCGAGTCATAGCTAGCGAAACCGGACTCGAAACTTCGAGTCAATCCCGGTTCAAGTACGAGTTTCGATTTAATGCTTATTTTTTTTACCACGCGTAATTCTGTAATTTTGGATTTTCGTTGTCAAAACCATAACCCACAAAACTTTTTTTCACAAAAGAAGCTTTTCAAAGAAGAGTCAAAGGTAAGAATTTTACATGAAGAAATTACTAAGTTGACCCTGCCTGGGAGGCCTTATCCTAGCAGACTTAGTCAAGGTTTATCGATTCTGGAAGAGGAGTTGGTTATGATGCTTTGGCAAAAAAAAAAGTTTTGTTAGATTAAGGTGACACTTACCATGTCTTTCTCTCGGTAACTGGAGGCGTGAGCAACCTTGGTCTCTATCCGTATTTTCCTTCGTTGTACTAATTCTTGCCTATTTTTTATTAATTAAGAATAATCAAAAGGAAAACGAATATGAAACACAATTAAAATTTAAAACAAATAATATGGCGATTTTTTACGTATAGTTATCATTGTCTTTTCTATAATGTAAAAATTAATTAAGAATTCTAAAATCAAAATTAATAAATATATTGAAAATTTCATTGATCGCTATATCTGAGTCTTTAAAATTCCAAGTTAATATATTTCTTCAAGAAATGCGATAATTTTGAACTTAATTTTGACAATTATAACGAGCAAAACCATTTACTGTGTTAAAAGTTATAAATGGAGTGCCTAAATTAATCTAAATCGTAAATAATATTGGTTTGTCGAAAAAAATTCAAGTTACCAAAGGTCGAAAATATTTTTTAAGATGTCAACCAATTTTTTTTACTAAAATGTTCTAGTTTATTATTTCAAGAATTGTACCAAAAAATTGTATATCGGTGTTCATATCATTTACTTTCGAAATTCAGTATAAGATTTTATTAGTTTTTTATGTAATATAATAATCAACAGTCCTAATAGTGTCCTAATGCTGTAATGACAGCTATATCGATGTTAATTTTCGACAATTTTCAGCATGCGAAAAAAATTGGATGCTTTTAGCATTACAGCATTAGCGTTAGAAAAGATCCTAAAAAATGAGATTCTATTCGAACTATCACGTTCTGATTGGACAAAATCAACGATCCTTAATATCATAGCTGGCTAATAGTTTTTTATCAGCCAGCTATAATATAATAATAACAATATCGATAGAGTATCAAGAAGATTTTGCTAGTTACTTTTTTAATGTAATTAACAAATTTAGTATGCTAATTTTTTGGTTTAATTTTACTTTCAAAAAATTTTATATATGAAATCACTCAAGTAAATATAGTAAAAAAAATTTTTTTAAATAAATAAACTGAAAATTTTTATATCGATATAGTTTTCAATCATTAAAATTTAATCAGCTTGAATCACCACTATTCAAAAAGCTGACATTGCGTTTCAGTACTGCATGCACGTATCTGAAACACTCTACCTTAAACCTCAATACAATTTCTTGTATCATCATATAATAATATCTAATTTATGCATAATAGCAAAATGTAAAATAAATCTGAATTGGGAATTTTAATGAATAGCAACGCCTTAAATTTATTATTTACAATACTTTATGATTGCTAAAAAAACGTTGCATTGTAATTTATTTTTTTCGTATGAAATTAACTTTATTATTTCTTCGATTTGATTTTTCTCACATAAAATTCGAGTTCTTTCCCCTCAAGAATATATCCATCGGCGCGACCAACTTGACCTGGTCTGGAACGTAGAATGGCTAAAAGTTTAAAGCAAATTCATCATTAAATTTACTATGAGCCAAAAAAAAAATAAAAATAAATAAATAAATAAATATATATATATATAATTATCTTACCATACAGACGACCAGTAGTAAACTGATCATCCAACAAAGGGTCAACCTTAGCATCCTCCTTACGGCCTTCGATTTTTCGTTGAACATGTTTAGATCGTTTCTTATTCAATTCTTCTGATTCAATCTTTAAAAAAGGATAATTTAAAAGTATTTCGTATTTGTTCAATGCTCGATTATTTCGAATGTTGAAAAACCAGTAAAACATGATAATAAAGAATGCATCTACATACTTGTCCTTCTTTCTTCTTCCTGCGACCAAGAGGTTGAGCATAATGCGCTTCAAACCACTGCCTAAAGGGTGTAGCATCGATTTGAATGATTGCTCCTTTTACGAGAGTATTGGTTCGAACCAATTCGTTGTTTGATGCATTATAAACAACTGCGATAATTCTTGTTTTCTTGGTAATAGATTCCGATCCCCATGAAAAGTTACCAGAGTCAAGACGAAGGGCACGAAACTTTCTATTCCCGCCACGAACACGGACTTCGTGAATACGTTTAGGTCCAAGTTTCGTGTTACCTGGTTGACGGCCTAATTCAAATTTTCTCTTTTTGCGATATTGAGCCCGTTTAGCACCAGTATGCGAACGCTTGTGGCGGGAGTCTCTGCTGATACCTATTTCGCATTGAAAAGATCACAGCAATTTGAGGTTTTAAAAAAAGTAGTTTCTTTAAAACTTTCGTGTTTTTCATATTGTCTATAACTTCAAATTTTTAATATATAGTGAATTAAATTTGATATAAAAACGAAAATTTTCGTTTTCGTTATGAATTTATTGAATGTTTAAATTATATCTATGAAAAATAAAAGTCGACAGTTTTGCAGAATAGATGATTCGCAAGAAATTTATTGGGCTGAAATGGATTATTATGCAGATGAATTTTTTTTTTTTACTAACCCATGTTATTGTCGCCTTTATAACAAAAATTGCGAGAGGAAGTTCAAGTATTTTTGATAAGAATGATCTTAAAAAATTTTAAAGGTCCCGGCAGGTAGAATTACATGACCAATGAAATTAATGAATTTAATGATTTATACACCATTAAGTAATCCGAAGATATCTTTTTTTTTTTTTTTTTTTTTTTATCACGCTAAATTATTAAAATATAAGAAAAATTGAGGTGGAAGTCATTTTTTGTCGTTTCCACTTTGTACTTAGCCATTCATAGGCATGGCTCCGTTTTACCAACGACCGGAAAATGCTCTTAAAAGAGCTGAAGGTACTTTCTATCTTTCTGATCAGTAATTTAAGAACTAGTTAGCGACTTTCGGCAAATTGATTGACAATCGAATAGTGGGAAATGGCTGATTACAAATTTTTGACTCTTGAATTTATTAACTTTTTTTTTAACAAAGCCTTTCATTTATAGTCCTTACACTCATATGTTCTTGCAATATTTTTAGAGCTAATTGCGGTTGGCCAAAATGTAGCTGCTCTTACATCTCTTCACGAGATAGTAATTTCAAAGCGTTCACGCAGTACCTCTCTTACTGCGCTAGAACCGATCATGCTTCGATTTGTGGAATTATGCGTCAATTTAAGAAAGGGTAAAACAGCCAAAGAAGGCTTGCATCAGTATAAGAATATTTCTCAAAATACCAGCGTTACAACTATTGAGGTATATAGATATATAGATTGATTATATTTACAAAATTAATATTTGTGTCAATGGCTATGTATTAGTATATTTGTTCACATTTTATTTTATTTTATTTCATTTATTTATTTATTTAGCTTGTTATAAAAAAATTTATTGAACTTTCTGAAGAAAAAGTAACCGCCGCTCAAGCAAAGGCGGATCAAATTATTTTAGATGCTATTGATGATCTCGAAGCATCTGAAACTCCAGAATCAATTATGTTGAGTACAGTTAGTGGTGAACAAAGTAAGGATAGGACTGATAGAGCTGTTGTCACACCTTGGCTCAAGTTCTTGTGGGAGGCGTATAGAACGGTTTTGGATATCTTAAGGAATAATGCGCGATTGGAAGTCTTATATCAAGTATGTGACAATTTTTTATAACACTATAATATATATATATATATCTATTTTTTTTTTTTCTCATATGTTTATGCCCTTTTATATATAGCAAACTGCCCATCAAGCATTCCAATTCTGTCTCAAATATACTCGGAAAACAGAATTTAGACGTCTATGCGAACTTCTTCGTAATCATCTTCAAAATATTGCAAAGTATGCTCATCAACCTCATTCAATTAATTTGAATGAACCAGAAACACTTCAGCGACATTTGGATACTCGATTTTATCAACTTAACGCGGCTGTTGAATTAGAATTATGGCAGGAAGCATTTAGATCTGTTGAAGATATTCATAATTTGTTGTCTATGTCAAAGAGACCACCAAAACCTGTAATGATGGCTAATTATTATGATAAGTTGACAAAGATATTTTTGGTTAGCGAAAATTACTTGTTTCATGCCGCTGCTTGGAATCGTTATTATACTTTGGTGAAGGCACAGAATAAATCCCTTACTGATGAGGATAGTACGAGAATGGCTTCATTTGTCTTATTATCAGCTCTTGCTATTCCTGTTATTACTAGTTCAAGAACTCGTATGCTTGAGATTGATGATAATAAAAACAAGCAACATCGACTTGCTTCTTTATTAGGAATGAGTCGTTCTCCAACTAGGTCCGGATTATTAAAAGAAGCGGTACGTGTACTTCTTATTTTTATGCATTATTGCTAGAATTTTAATAGTTATCTAATGATCAATCTTAATTAATTAATAGCTCAATAAGAATATATTACGTCGCGTCCGTCCACAATTAAGAGAGCTTTACAATATATTAGAAGTTCAATTTCATCCTTTATCAATTTGTAAAAAGATTGAACCTATAATGAATCACCTCTCTCAAGATACTGAAATGGCGAAATATGTCAAACCTTTGCATCAAGTTATTTTAACACGACTCTTTCAACAGTTATCACAAGTTTATGATAGTGTTAAACTTGATTTTGTCATCAACCTTGCGTCCTTTGCCCCACCATATAATTATGATGCTGCAACAATAGAAAAATTTATCATGAACGGGTGTAAAAAAGGAGAATTAGCAATTCGTATTGATCATGCAACCAGCAGTTTAACTTTTGAGACCGATTTATTTTCTGCTTCTAAAAACGCCGATGCTGATGGTGCTAAATTACAAGCTTCACCGGCAGATAGGATGCGTGATCAACTTTCGCGACTTGCCAAATGTTTTTATACAACCGTTCATATGATAGATCCTACTATCATTGAAACCAAACAAAACGCTAAAGCGCAAGCACTTTCACGCGCTTTGGCTGGGATGGAAGAAGAGCACAATAATGCGCTTGCTCGTAAAGCTATTATTGAGCGACGAAGAGCATTAGTGGACACATTGTTAATGCGTAAAGCGAAAGAAGAGGAGCGTGAACGAGCTCTTCTCAAAAAACGAAAAGATGAAGAGCTTAGACAGCGTCAAATCGAGGAGGCAAAAAAACGTGAACAAGAGAGGAGGAAACGTGATCGTGAAGCCATTCAAAAAGAGGAAACTCGAAAATTGGCTGAAACGCTTAAACTTCAAAATCTAAAAATTGAACCAGAGGTAAGAATAAATTAACAGCTTAAACCATAAATCTAGATTTAGACGATTATAATAATATGTATTATATATCATTAAGGAATTGGATAAATTGGATCCAGACAAGATTGTTAGACTCCAAGTTGAACGGCTTGAAAAGGAAAAACGCGAACTCAATGAACGTCTCAGAGCTACAGCTAAACGTATGGATCATCTTGAACGTGCCTATCGTAAAGAAGAAATTCCTCTTCTAGAAAAAGATTACGAACGACAAAGAAAAATTGATAGAGCTTATCATGAAGCTGCTCGTAAATTACAACTCGAAACATCTTTCTCTAAGCATAATGAAGATCTTAAATTAAAGGAAAGACTTAAGAGAATATTACCGGATTATCAACAATATCGAAAGGAGATTGAAGATAAACGATATGAAGAATTCGAACGACGCCGTAAAGCTGCTCAAGCCAAAATTGAAGAGGAAAAGGAAAAGAGACGTCAAATATTTTTAGCAAAATTAGAAGAAGAAAAATTGAGAAAGGAAGCAGAAGAGGAAGCTATGAGAAAAGAAGAAGAGGAAGAAAGGCGTCGTGCTGAAGGTTCTTATTTTTTTTTTTTAATTTGGTCAATAAAAAAATATGTAAATTATAGTTTTTACAAACAATTGCTTTTTTTTTAATAAACCAGAGCTCGCACGTCGTGAAGAAGAAGTTCGTCTTAGGAAGGAGAAAGAAGAATTAGAATACCAAGAAAGGAAAAAGTATGACATATATTTTTTATATTGTTTGCTTATTTGATTTTTATTAATATCTTGTATTATCTTGTATTATCTTGTAACTAAATAGGAAACTTGACGAGCAAGCTAAACGACAGGCTGAGATGGAACGTAAAGCAGAAGAAAGGTTAAGACGTCAGCAGGAGGAGAAAGAACGTACTGACAAAGAAGAACAAGAACGACGTCGAAGAAAGGAAGTTGCTAACTCTGGTTATGTTCCTCCAGCTCTTCGCCAACGAACTGAATCTACTAGTAGTAAAGATGATTCACCATGGCGCAGAAATGAAGAGTCTGCGTGGCGTAGGTCAGATTCTGGTCGTAGTAACACTACAGAAGAAACTGATAGACGTCGGTCTGGCCGCACTGAAGAAGTGGAATGGCGTAGATCCGATTCAGGACGTGGTTCCTCGACTACCGAAGATAAAGCTTGGCGTCGTACTTCTGTTACTGCCACTTCAACGCGTGAGGAACCAGGTAGTTGGCGGCGAAGTGGCCCATCGGCTAATGATCGTGGAGATTCATGGAGATCAAAAGATGCAGAAGATTCTGAACAGTCTTCAACGTCTTCACGAGGTCCTACTCGTATATTGAAATCGGAATCTACTGGATGGCGAGCTCGTTCTAAGCAACAGGCTGAATCTTCGACTATGGAAAGAACATCATCAGGGCGTCTCTGGACAGCAACTCTGCAAGATCAATTTGATGATAATGAAGATGATTCAAATTCTAATTTGGAAAATGCACCAACTGAATCAAGAGTAATCAATGAACCTGTGAAACAAACTTTTACAAATGAACCTGATGACGATGGATTTATACCAGTTAGCAAGGGCAAGAGACGTGGTTAAAAAATTTTTTTAAAAAAAGAAATATTTTTTAGCAAAGCTAAAATTAAACATTAAATTTTTAATTAATATCAATAAATACACATGCCTACAATAAATTATCGGACATCAACAATGTGTAAACAATGACTACTAGTATATCGTTATATGCTTGACTTAGTTATTGTATTAAAATTCGCAAATTAGCTTTTATTGTATTATTTGTTATATAAATTTTATTTTATTTAAAAAAGTAAAAAAAAAAACGTAGTACGTATGCTGGGTTAACACGGGTATTTTTTTTCGTATAATTAATTGGATTTATAATAAAATATATAAAATATATACATTTGAATATCAATATTTATTAAAGATAATAATTAATACTTATTTCAAATTTGTTACTTGTCATGTTAAAAATTTATTGTTTATAAAACATGATGTGACGGATATTAACATTTGATTTTTGACCAAGAATGTATGTTTAAAGTTCAGAAGTTCTAAAATTATACAATTCCAATTAATTAAAGATTATGTCAGGTACAAAACAAGTTTTCCCTTGATGACAGTACTAACTAGGCTAATGCATAGCATTGTGCGTCCGGAGCCTATGGTTGGTTTGTTTTTATTTTATTTTTTTTAACATCGTTATAAGTTTTCACCCTTGTGATACGAATTTTTGTAAACTGATTTGAATTCTTTTAGCAAGTTCTTGAAAGTTCGCGGCCAAAGATCTTCAAAACACTTGCCGCGTTTACTCATTTTAGTGCGATCTACTCGAAAATTTTATCCTCGCGTTTCTTAAAATATTATTCATAGTAATAGTAATAGTAATAATTGTAATAGTAATCGTAATAGTAATCGTAATAGTAATCGTAATAGTAATCGTAATAGTACTCGTAATAGTAATAATAATAGTACTACTAAAAATTTTTCTTTTAAAAAAATCATAAGAGAGGTATTAAAACCGAAAATTTTACTGCCGTGAGTACCCATTCTATGTTTATTAATCAATATTCTACTTTTAATTTTTTTGTGTCAGATTTTTACCGGACAGATGAATTGATAATCACTGTGTAAAAAGGCTGTTCGTAGCGAAGGAATTTGATGATCCTTTCTAAATCTATATTGATATCAAATAACATAATTATTTCTGGATTAGAATTTTATTCACTACGTACTATTCTAGGTTTTATTTAACTTATTAGGATGCATTATAGCCTAGAGGATCTAATTTCACTATTATTCCTTTTTATTAACCTTAATAAATTATCTGTCACAACTACTATAAACTACTATATACAAGACCCAAGTCTGTTTTATTTTACCCAATTTAAACCTTATAATTAGACCCGTGGGTTTATTTGTTCGGGTCTTTATATTTACCAAAACTTTATCTTATATAATAGGCTCTATTCTATGTTAATTGCTAGTAGCTTTTCAAATGCATTGCAAAATCAAATGATTGCTGTATTCCCGAAATAAGCTACCCATAAGACACATATCCATAAAATACAGTATGCAAAAACATCCAACTACTCACTCATAAAAACACCTATTTATTTGGAAAGACACTACTATCTGTAAAGATACTACTTTGCTATAAAGATGTCTACCTGCAAGAATACCCACCTGTTCACAAAGAAACCTATTTCCAAAGATGCTCACCTTGTAAAGACATCTGACTAATTACCTGCCCACTCACCTATCGTAACACTCAACTATTTATCTATTTATCAGTTATAAAAAAACTTTTATATTAGTTGTTTTTTTTTGTTTTTTTTTATTCTTTGACAAGCCTACTAGACACTTGTAAGTAAACAAATTCTATATTATAAAAAAATAAATCTAAGCTATAATACAGATAGCTTGATTTTAGTCTACCTGGTTATTATTTAGTTTTAAGTGTATCCTGTTATGCTACTTAATACTTAAACAGGTTTTGGTGGTAGCCTATTTAAAATCTATACCAAAAAGTTTTTTTCCTTTCATAATAAAGCCTAATATTTTTTCTTTACCAAAGATTCTATTACTTTATACTGCTTAAAAAATTTAACATATTTTTTTCTTTTACTTTTTTTTTTTTCTTCATTGGTAAAGTAGCAGTGTTAATTTTTTTCTATTTTCTTTCTTTTTGTAAAAAGCACCTGCACTAGTTTTTTTCTATTCTTTTAATATTATTTGTTATATTGTTCATTTTTTCTATAAAATAACTTTTTGGCATTATTCTTTTTAGACAATTTTATAAAACTATTTTAAAAGAAAGAGATTATTTGATTAATACAGTTTATAGCTTCTTTCTTAATTGCTAGCATACTTTCTACCTTGATAAAAACTTTATATTTGATAATATACTTCATTAAGCATTTTTTATTTCAAGAATTTCTGTGTATAAATTACTAAAAATTATGTTTTCAAGATCTTTTCTATAATACAGACTTTAAAACTTTTTTAATAGATGTTTCTAAGCTATTTTTAGCATAAATAACTGTATATTAAAACAAAATTTTTTTTGACTTTTATATTTAGCCAAATGTTTGAAGTTTTTAGTATAATTTCTATTACAAAGTACACAGTTTAAAGATTTGTTATATGTCTGATTTTTGGAATTTATAAGTAAAGCTAATTTTTTTTTAAACTTTAAAGCTAAATAACTTTTAATTTACTAGTCTGTTTTAAATAATTTTACTACCAAATGTTTAGCTCTTTGAGATGATTTCAACAAGCTCAAAATTATAAAAATCTAATTGCAAAATCACAAGAAAATATACTGTCAAATAAAGTAATGCATTCATATAATAAAACAATTAATTAAACTAATTGTTTCACTATACAGATATATCACCTTATTTAACAGTATATTTTTTCATTAGATTTTTATGATTTTGGGCTTGTTGGAATTGTCTCAAAAAGCTGAATATTTTAGTAATAAAATTGTTTAAAACAAACTAATAAATCAAAAATTATTTAGCTTTAAAGTTTTTAAAAAAATTAGCTTTACTTATAAATTCTAAAAATTGAAATATATATATATTTTTGGCTTCTTTTATTTAACTTTTCTATAACAGAAACTTTTCTGCAAGGCATTTAATAATAAAATTAGATTTTTTGCTTTTTTTCAAAAAGTTGCTTTGTATTTGAGCTTTTAAGATTTTTTGTTTAATATATTTGGTTATATTAGTATTATTTATTTCCTGGGGAGTAGAAATTATAATGGAGGTTACCGATGATCATAGTACATGGATGGCCCTTCGGGCCATCCACGTACTATGATCATCGGTAATCTCCGTTATAATTTTCCCACAGGAAATAAATAAGTAATCCCCAGGAGCGTGTCACTAGATGTTAATCGGACTACCTACAATTTTTTTACACG